TTTGATGATGATTGGACAAAATTTGTAGGAGGAGTAGCGAAAAAACAGTTTTTGACAAAATACAAGATGGTGGAAAATCTGAGGTCTTTTAAATTTTGGACACATGGTTTAAAAGTTATGACATAAACATACTTCCAAATTAGGCCAAAATTTGACCCAATGGTGGTGCTAGAACGTTGTCAGCACTTGGCCCAAATTTGGTCAAAATGTTCCTTAGACCCTCCCCAATCAATGTGCCAAATTTCATAACTTTTTATCAGACGGTTCTATGGGCTGCCATAGACATACTATCCAGACAAAGAAGAAGAAGCAGAAGAATAATAAGAAATGGTAGAATAACAATAGAGTGTCTACGCATCTTCAGTGCTTGGCTCCATAATAATAATAGTAATGAAGGCCTCCGGTACAGAGCAGAAGGTTGGACGAAGCAAAGATTAAGTTAGATATAAATACAAGCTCTCTCTTAAAGAGACAGACAGTTTAAAATGAAATTCAATTTACATTAGTTGACCATATCATCAACCATGATTCAGAAGCGGAAGATTTTTCTAACATTGTTAGACAATATTGCATGCAAAGAAGAAAAATTTCCCTTGCCTAAATAAAAACGAAATGATCTTCTATTCTTTATAAGTGAACAAGGTTTATATATTTTTTGTTCTTAAATATTTATATTTATATATTTATATTAGGTAAATGCTTTATCCTAATCAGAATCTATCCCAGGAGCACTTTGATTATGAGGTGGGAATACACCCAAAATAAAATTAGCAAAATTATCAGCCAATATAACAAGAGTATTTCAAGCTTGAAATTAATAGAAATGTATAGGTTTAATAATTTAATAGTCCTTAAAATAATTTAATTTTTCATCCCATTAAAACATCGAGTACACAAACACCTAACAGACACTAAGTGACACACTGGCTTCAATAGCTGTCTATGAGCTCTGTGTCAAGGGCTTCAAATGAGATTTACACGCAGGCTGCACTGTTCACCAAAAAGATTTTGAGTTTAATGAACAAACAGTGTGATATTGCAGTGAGATATTTGATCATTTGATTCACTAACTCAAATGATCATATCAAATTGAATTACAATTACCACTGATGAATGATAGATTGATGATCAATTAAGACTGATGAACTGATGAGTGTATGTGTGTGTATAAACAGTAGATGTAATGTATATAATCTTATAATATGGTTAGACCTTATTAATTCTAGAGTAGAGCATGTTTATTCAATTCAATTCAATTTTATTTGTATAGCGCTTTTAATAATGGACATTGTCACAGAGCACCTTTACAGAAAAATATAAATTCAGGATATAAATTTTAATTTCGTAAATGTATCCCTAATGAGCAAGCCAGAGGCAACAGTGGTGAGGAAAAACTCCCTGAGACGATATGAGGAAGAAACCTTGTGAGAACCCATCCTCATCTGGGTGATAACGGATAGTGCGATTATAAATAAATCCCTTCTATAACTGTGTACTACATGGTCAACAAGTGCAATTGTGTAACCAGGAAACTCATTATAGTTTTCACATGCAGTCTATTTTGTTGAAGTTATCAACTGTTCACTGATGGAGACTTGAGTGCAAAACCGTTCAAGGCAATTGCAATCCTAAAGCTATCATAGAAATTGTAGTCCTAAGGCATCGTAGCAAAACTGTTTGTATCAACTGCAGTCCGAAGCCATCTTCATGGTTTCTAAGTGGTACCATCCTCAGTAATCTCATGTATCTTTAAGCTGTCCATGTGGGGCTATCCTCAGAAGCAGCGAGTGGTTTCCAAGTGATGAGAACTCCAACCAGAAGTAGGGCATCAGGCTGGATTAGGCAGGTCCGGAGAGCATAAGGGGTCAGGATCACTGGTGTCTCAGGATACCCGGTCAGTCTACCAGTAATATATACAGTACTCTATATATTCCTGATCATTCCTGTATTATTCCTGAACATCCATATTACTGATGCCCAGAACATCGTTTCAGTCGAGGCTGCACTTCTGCCATGGTTTAATTATATATTATACAGCAGTGGTGCAAATCTCAGCTGAAATATTCAGATGCCTTCACGTTTGTTTCCTTTCTTCTCATCCTCTGTCCATTCTTCTCCCACTTGCCATACTACATGCATCCACACACAGGGACACACACACACACACACACACACGCACTCATGTCCCTGTCTGACACCTACCTCTTGTTCCATTATCACACTGCAGAGGAAATCATAGCTCTGGAGTGTTTATATGTGCTTATGGTGCTACTCTAACAATTTAGCCTACTCCTGTGAAACAGGATTGACAGCAGGTGTGCACTTTTTAATTCTATTTTCAAATTACTCACCAAAATCACACATCACATCGCCTTTTTCTTTTCTAAAAAACATAATTGTCATTGCAAATAGCATTTTGCAGGTGATAATTTAAGCAATTAAAAATGTCTGTGCATGTGTAAAATGTGCATAAACAATTAAAATAAATACACTAAACATATCACTCAACAGGTTTTATATAACGCAACAGACAATTCAAAAGGAAAAAAGGAATGAAATTTCACACAATACATACAAAAGAGAACACAAAGAGGAAAAGGAAAGGAAGAGAAAAAAATGTCTGAACTGTCCCTCCCTCCTCCCTAAACACACACCAGATACAATATGATTTAAACACCCCTAACAAAGCCACCAATGACCCTAGGCACTTAAACCCCACAAAGATACATGAGAAGTGGGGTAAATGTGAGACAGAATAAAAATTATCCATCGTCTATGACAGGTGCGCAGTCCGTTTTTAGTTCTCGTAAAGATACTCAAGGAAGGGGTCCCAGATCCTGTCACATTTTTTGGAAGCACCAGTCTTAAGAAATCGAATCCTTTCAAGCTTGAGGAAAGGCAACCATCTCAGCCAGCCATTTTTGAAAGCTAGATGGTGAGGTGGACTTCCATTCCATCAAGGTGACCCTCTTAGGCACCACCATACCAAACATAAGAGACAACTGTTGCGAATGCAGCAGAGCTAATGTAAGATCAGAGCATCCGAACAGAGCTAATTCCACATCAGGACTGATATCCTTTTTGAAAACTTGTGAGTACCACAGCAATATGCTCTTCCAAAACCCTGACACCTCAAAGCAGAACCAAAAAGAGTGAGCATGAGTCCCTTCTGAGCTCTTGCATCGATCACATAGAGAGGATACTGAAGAATACATTTAGTTGAGTTTGACTTTCAAATAATTTAGTGTGTGCTATTTTGATATACAGTATTTTCTTTATAAAGGTAGTGATCATTGCCTTCAAACCAGTATTTAATGTGGAGGATGTGTCCATAGCTTGTTTAAAGAGAAATGTCTTTAAATACATTTAAGGCCAGAAATAATGAACTAAGTGGAAGAAAAACTGTATATGAAATGGCTTTACTTCCCAGTCATGGGTTTAGCTAAAGAGCTTTCAGACAGGTTGACTGGACCTAAACAAGCATTTAGAACAGTAAAGGAAGTTTGATGGAGAAGGTTGGGAAAATGGACAAAGACAAAAAAAAAAAGAAGTGCAGAAGAGCCTCAAGTGAAATTCAGGATACGTTAGTCAGACGTGAAAGATGATTTTTCTGACATTGTTTGCAAAGTTTTAGGCACTAAAAGTAGACTACATCAGTGAATACATCTGTTTGCAATTTAGCTGATGTATATACAGTGACAGTATAAACACTCAATTAATCATGGTTTTTGTAGAAGCTCATATGAGAAATGTGACTGGAGTTTTCACAAACATATTTCATTTTAAATACAGTGTTTAGGAAAAGTTAATTTAGAAAAGCTGAAAGAGTAAACACATGTCTTTCCACATTTGTACAGCAGGTGTCAGTATTGCCCAAGGGCTGGGGTATCTTATTTAAAAATAAATAAATAAATAAATAAAATAAAATAGGACTTCCAGAAGAAACAATGCTGGCAGATATTTTCTGCTGAAAAGTGCAACTACAAATTACCAAAAGTAGAAGAGTGTGTAGTTTAATGAGTTGTGATTGGCAGTAATCACTGGTTCGAGCTAATCTAGCTAAATTGGTCTTTGTGCAGCTTTAATCACAACACACACCCAGCCAGGCCGCATTATACACTCATCAAGCTACTTATTAGCACTCTGTTTGTATGAGTAGTGTGTGAGCTCAATACAGACGCCAGTCTGACTGAAGGAAAGGAAAACATGTTGGGGGAAATTGCTTTTCTATTTAGACAAGCTAACAACCAGATCCCACCTGAAGTTGGCTGGATGAAGAGACTGCATCATAGAGCTGACTGATGAAACACAAATGTTTGCTAACAGATGCAGAAGTGTGTTTCATAGGAGAACATTACAAGCACTGTGAAGTCGACTATGAAAGTATTCCTGATGAGTAAACACTATTGAAGTAGAATTTACACAATGCCAAATGCTTTTATGATCTCTGTTCAGTGCATCATCACAGAAGCCAGTTCATTTGATCAGTTTTCTTGAAAAGTACTGAATGCATAGAAATAGTTTCTTAAATTTGCTTCAGTGTTCCTTCATTCAGAAAATATCCGATATATAGGAGATTTTCCACTGAACATTCAAAACAGGAACTGGCCCAAAGCGGAGCCAGTAGGATCCAATAGATTTTCTTTGAAAATGAAAACATTTTTCAATGAAAATACTTGACTATTTGAAATCTTTGCTGAAGTAGGCAATAGAATTGGCATTGTTAACATTTTTCCAAATGTCATCTATTTTTTTCCTAGAAACTTCATCAGATAAATTGTTGGTCAACATATTAGATGTTGTGAAAAGTGGTTTTTTGCAGGAATAACACTGAAATTATGCATGAATATAGTGTCACAGGATAGCTGATGACACATCCCTCTCCTACATTTACAGCATTTGGCAGATGCCCTTATCCAGAGCAACTTACATTTATCTCATTTATACAACTGAGCAGTTGAGGGTTAAGGACCTTGCTCAAGGTCCCAGCCGTAGCAGCTTGGCAGTGCTAGGATTTGAACTCATGACCTTCCGATCAGTAGTCCAATATCTTAACCACTGAGCTACCACTGCCGGTTTACATAAAGCCAATTAAACAACCAACAAACAATCCCATTTCTTTTTTATAATCTTATTACAGATGCCTGGTCCAGAGCCTCTGAAAGTAAAGCCTAGACTCTGCATGTTCATTATTACAGCATTGAATTTCATTGTAATGAAAAGTCATGGGTTCAGTACATCATTGGGTCCTCAAAACCAGGGGATAATTAGTTGTAAACGTAAGTCAATTTTAACAACAGTGCTGGTTAACAGCTTGTGAATATATGCTGAGATGAGATTCGATGAGAGAAATGAGATTCAATTCAATTCAATTTTATTCATATGGCATTTTTCCTTTATCCTTCTGATATTTAGTTTCTCATATATGATATGTCATACAAAAGTGTAAATTGGGTTTATGGGGAGATTTAAAAAAAAACAACTAAAAAGTAACTACAGAATGATATGCTAATTGGTTCTCTTAAATGATTATAGCAGATGTGTACATTTTGTCATCTGTGACTTGGCAGTGTCTTAAAGCAGCTCCATCCCCATTTTTGTTGAAAATAAATTCCATCAAACTCCATCAGTGGACAGTTGATAAGTTCAACAAACCTGACTTCATGTGAAAACTGTAATGAATTTACTGGTTGCACACTTTCACTATTTGACCATGTAGTACACAGTTATAGCAGGGAATTATTTATAATCGGACTATTCATTATCACCCAGATGAGGATGTGTTCCCTTTTGAGTCTGGTTCTAGTCAAGGTTTCTTCCTCATATTGTCTCAGGGAGCTTTTCCTTGCCACTGTCGCCTCTGGCTTGCTCATTAGGGATACATTCACACATTTAGAATTTATTTTGATTTAATTTAATTTGAATTTTGTTAAAAGCACTATACAAATAAAACTGAATTGAATTGAATTAAATTCTCCAAGAGTTCACCATTTGAAACTGATGTTGCATATTTTTCCTCATACAACAGGTTAATCTTAGTTTCAATTTCAAAGGGTTTATCAACAGTCCCATGATCTTCTCACTAAAACTTTATATTATATAATCTATAATATACATTATTGTCCATTTTTCACTATTCTGGTATTTTTTCTGTGCAACGACACCATGGCCCGGACCCATGCAGATCTTTTCTGTAGCAAACAGCTCTACACTGTACTCAGTGTGCTTCCAATTAAGGACAAAAGTAGCGAGGCACTCCCTCGCGACATGTGGTTCCGTTTAGAGCAGGTGAAACAATGTAGGAAAATATATCCGTCATCTGTTGCATTCCAGAGGTCAGGAAAGAGTGGCGTTAAATCATATAGTGAACTAAAAGACCGGGCAAGAGGAGAGTAGTTTATTTTTATTTAAAACATATCTAGTAAAAGTAGAATGGTTTAAATTTCAAGATTTCAAGGAATTGCTTAAAATATGATGAAATTAAAATATCAGAGAAAGGGAATTATAAGTTAAATAAAAACCTCTGGCATCTTACATGATTAAAAAAGAAATGAAATAGGCACTGGTGCATTTTGTAAAAAAACAAATCAAATAAATTAAATAAATATAAATGACATGTGAAATATATTTGACATACTTTTCAATCTACACTATGTGGTCAAAAGTATGTGGACACCTGACCATCATACCCATATGTGCTTTTTGAACATCCCATTCCAGATTTATTCTCCCTTTGCTGTTATAATAAGCTCCACTCTTCTGGGAAGGCTTTCCACTAGATTTTGGAGCGTGGCTGTGGGGATTTGTGTTCATTCAGCTACAAGAGCATTAGTGAGGTCAGGCACTGATGTTAGTTGAGGAGGTCTGGGGTGCAGTCGGTGTTCCAGTTCATCCCAAAGGTGTTCAGTGGGGTTGAGGTCAGGGCTCTGTGCAGGACACTCGAGTTCTTCCACTCCAACCTTCACACACCATGTCTTCATGGAGCTCGCTTTGTGCACAGGGTGGGGGGTTAGTTGGGGGAGACAGAACGTTTGCTTTTCCCAAACCTAAAAAAAAAATTCAGGATCATTCTAATATGTAAATGAGATTTATTGGGGGGGACGCTGAGCTAGGCTAATTACAGATATTCATGCTAGTTTCAGATATAGGCTAGCTTCAGATATCCTTCTCTGTTTGGTTCTCTTAATTGATTATAGCAGAAGTGTGCATTTTTGTTATCTGCAAATAGACAGCATCTGTAAATAGCTCCATCCCCATTTTCACTGAAAGAAAATTCCCCAAGAGTTCACTGTTATGAGTCAGTGGGTGAATATGAATGGGAAGGGGAGGTGCAAAGCTCCTGACTACAGATCTTTAGTCTGAAGTATGTACATATGTACAGTATGTATGTATGCAGTATGTCCAAAAAGTCAGGAAACAATGGGAGTTAAACTACATATACATGATTTTGTATTTATTATTCATTTACACTTTAAATTTTTATTTTTATTTTTTCCTTACAGGTGAAAAATGGCACTAACATTGGATGATAGGGTAGAGATAGTGCTTCTTGGTACTTCTTGGTACTCTAATTGGTTCTTATTGGTTAGTTTGTTTACACGCTCACTCACTTACTGACTTAGGGGGATTCCTGTTACACGTAAGGCCTGGGAATCTCCTGGGTCCAGCCGTCCAGGTGTTTCTCTTCAAAACTTGAGGAAATATCTCATTTGATTTGGGATTAGTAAGGAAAGGGAGTGTTATTTTAACTTTGGGCTCTGCATTTGCCTCCATATTAAAGCTTTGAGTGGTTATTCACAATCCTGGATAGTAGTTAATCCTGTGCCATAACTTATTTGATGAATAGGATAGGGGAGGAGAGAAAGGGAATCGGGTGCACCCGTTGCTGCTGTTAATAACTCCTACTGCTGAGCTGAATGGCACTGGGTTTATAACCAACGTAATGTTAAGCTCTCAGCAGTAAATCAATTAACAGCTATGCATCTTGATGGATCACATGTGGAGACTACAAAAACAGCTCTGGATAATCCACAGTGCAGATGATACCACATTTTTGGCTAAACCTGTGATGGCTGTTTGCTAACTTTTCCTGTATCCACATGAATTGCTTAACTATGAGCCTGACTGACTTGCCCAAGAATCTAAATGATGTTGGCTGCAATGGTGATTAGCACACTGCTAACACATTTATAGCAACCAAATTTTTTCTCATATGCTCCAAATAGCATAATGAGAAAAACAAAGGTAGTCTAGAGTCGTATACCAGGTCATGCTGCCAAAACCAAGCCTCGTCTCCTTATTAAAAAAAAGCCACCGTTTCATACTCCCCTCCCCACACATTCTGTGGTACACTTCAGATTTTTATGCTCATGTAAAACCAACAAATTAAAGTTAACGTTAATTTGTTCTGCAGTCTATTTTCTCTTTAAGCTAATGAACACGAGGAATGTGTGTCTTTCCCTTTAGAGAATTCAGGGTCCATTCTTATTGGTCAAATGAAACTGGCTGAAGTCCTTCATTTTTATTTTCATCCATGAGAGATGGAGGGTAAAGAACAAGTGTTGGATGTAGTTTTCCAAAATGTGTTTTTGTAAGCTAAATAGCTGGGCACTTTGATTGCTGATTGGACTTAATATCAGGAAACAGGACATTATAGGCCATTAGGCTCGGATTGCACGACTGATTATTCCTATGAGCAGGCCACATAATTAAACAGCCATCTCTCTCTCTCTCTCTCTCTAAATGCCATCACTTCATTGGTTGCATGGGGTGCGGAGGGATTACATGTCTATATTACATGTCTGGTCGTATATATCATATAATGTATATGTATATATAATTCAATTTAATTCAATTTTATTTGTGTAGTGTTTTTAACAACGGACATTGTCACAAAGCAGGTTTAGAGAAATATATAAATTCCAGACATAAATTTTAAATTAAATAAAATTATCCCTAATGAGCAAGCCAGAGGTGATGGTGGCAAGGAAAAACTCCCTGAGACAATATGAGGAAGAAAGCTTGAGAGGAACCAGACTCAAAAGGGAACCCTTCCTCATCTGGATGACACCAGATAGTGCGATTACAAATCATTTCTCTTCTATAACTGTATAATATATAGTCAAAAAGTGCAATTGTGTAACCAGCAACTTATGAGTATGAGCATCAAGTAATTTCTGAATTCTTTATAGTTTTAACATGAAGTCTATTTTGTTGAAGTTATCAACTGTTCAGTGATGGAGGCTTAAGTGCAAAACTGTTCGTAGTAATTGCAGTCCTGAGGCGATCCTAGGAAGAACATCCACAGCCATCTTTATGGTTTCTACAGTATAATGTGCTGCACAGTTTAGTTCCAATATTAATCTAATACATGTTCAACTTGCGGAGTTGCATCTAAACTTTGGAGAGCTCTAGGATGAAGGTTGAACACCTCTGATCTAATAGTCACATTCTTTTTCATTGAAAAGTAATTCTAAAATTTATGGAATATGAATCCATAGTTATAAGTTTGCGATTCTACAGAAAGCCCTTTAATCAGAATTACAGGGGATCAGTCTGTGCAGGTCGTCTTTAAAAAGCCAGTGAAAAATGCCCATGCCTTCTTTGCTTTGTCCATTGATTAGAACATTTCATAATGCCTCAAATATCTTGTGGAACAAGAAAGAGGGATGTTAGCATTCAAGAGTAAAGCAGCTGCACTTGAACTTATTCATTCATCTTCAGTAAGTGCTTTATCCTGGTCAGGGTTGCAGCAGACCTGGAGCCAATCCCGGGAACTCTGGGCATGAGGGAGGATGGCACTCCAGTCCATCACAGGGTACCACGCACACATTCCGTCACAACAAGGACAATTTAGAGTAGATAATCCACCTACTAGTGTGTTTTTTGGAGGTGGGAGGAAACCAGAGAACCCAGAGGAAGCCAACATGAACATGATGAGAAACTCCAGTAATGCAAGATCAGGGTCGAACTGAGGACTCTGGAGTTGAGCAGCCCATCAGACCAACGAAGACCTGGTTACCTGAATCCTGACTTGAACCTTACAGAGTGCCTGTGGGACACCATGGATCTCAA